AACCTTTTCTGCTTCCTTTGAATGCACCTGACCACAAAAAGAAACACTGGTTTGATATTTACCTGTAAGACCCGAACATGACCTTCTCTCCATCCACCAGCATGTATTTGGAGCACAGGGAGCCTGGCAGTTTTCCAAAGGACAGGGCCAGCCCTGCACCTTTTAGCATCCGCACACGTAGATTCTGTAAAAGAAACACCTGTTGGATTACACACTGGCTTACCTGTGTCAAAAATGTCACACACGTAAGCCTGAGTAAACGGACCCCAGCTATCGGGCATCCGTGGCTTTTTCAAGGATGACTGGCTGATTTACAGAGATGCCAAGTCAAATTTCTGCAGGCACACCCAGAAACATAAAGTCAGCTTTCATAATAAGTAAAGGCTAAAACCCAAACACTTCAGCCACCTCTGTTTACTTAGAGGGAAGCAGGAAAAGAAAAGGACGTAAATGCTGAGTAGACAAACTGGGAGGAGGCTCTCCTGTGTTGTCAACCCTGGCGTGGGGTGAGAGTGTCAAGTTACTGTCCTTGGATCTGTTCTCAGGATCTATGAATGTTCCCTTGTCACTAGTAACAGAAACAGAGCCCGGCACTCTGAAAGGGTCTTTCACAGCCTTCTAAACTGATACCACAATGGCCAGCCATTTCACCACTCCGGTTAAACCAGACTGGAGCTGAAAAACTCTGCATACAACAGATAAGACTGGGTATTATGACATGGTGAAGATAGGATGACAGATGACTCACTATTTGCGCTTAATCTAAATCAGCACCTAATGTCACTTCTCAGGTTCTGCACCACAAGAAGCAGCAATTACATGTTAGCTCGTGCTAGCGTCTGCTCAGCAGTCGATTTTCCAATAATTCCTCAAAAATTATTAATTTGACCGTCCCTGTTTTACACTGGAAGGAAAATACTTTTTTATTTTCACACATATTTTCATACAAGTGCTCCAACCAGTCCATTTCCTCACATTTTATTGATTTCCTGCTGTTTATCAGTTACCTAACCACTACGTCTGCTACTTTTAGCTAACTAGTTAAACTGTTCTTGCGAAACCTTTAATGATCTGTTTTAGTTACTTTTTTCTTATTTTTTCGGCTTCATTTTTTGCTTTTTTTTATGACTGAACAATTTAATCAGTTACTTTAATCCTATTTTTAACCTACTTCAACCATTTACTCAAAATTTTAGCTAACCGCTACATCCGCTACTTTTAGCTAACTAGTGTAACAGTTCGTGTAAATCTTTGCAATCTATTTCAGTTACTTGTATAAAATGTGTTTTTTCAGCCTTAATCATTGACTATTTTGCTGATTTAACTATTTAATTTGTTAATTTTATCCCTTTTTAAAAACTATTTCTACCATTTACTCAAAATTTTAGCTAACCGTCTACTGTTTATGTTTTATGTTAAGCTGTATCAATTCTTTAAAAGTCCCATTAAAAACTACTTCTACCATTCAATGCTGGATACTTTTCTGAGCAGTAAATTGGCAGGTTTCACAAACTAAATTCCTGTAACCTCCAATGCACTGCTGCAAAAGCAGTTATGAGAAATCAAACCTCAAACTACCCTTAGGGTTAAGTGGGAAAATGTGAGGTTTTTTTGGTTGGTTCTGATCTTTTACGAGCAGTTGATCTAAAACGTATTGCCAAGTTTTCCTGGTTCATGTTTTAACTAGATCAAACCTTTGAGGTAATTAACTTGTCAGCGATTTCCCAGAAAGCCTGACCTATGATTCAGAATAAGTTTTAATCTGGGATAATTCCAGCCGTCATCGGCATTGTTCCAGGACTCAGCAGTGACCTACTGAGCTGTTTTCCCATGTTCATTTCCTCTTTGTTTACTGTGTTAGAGAGCCTCCTCTCTCTGCAACGCTCTGTTTGCTCACCCGCAGATGCATCGCGTTAATCTGCAGCCGAGAGCACATATCCAGAAAGTGGGGCACTCCCCTCGCCTCCAGCACAACGTAAACTGCCACGCCGCGCCGTGACGAAGCATCCAGCAGGTCCTGGAGAATCTGCAGGTCCGTGAGGAGGTCCATGACGATGGCCACTGCCTGCGAGAAACAGAGGGGAGAGGAGCCATCTCACGTTACTCGTGCATATCCATTAACACTTGTGCTCTTTTTCAGTTATTTGAGCAGTCATATTTTTTTTAAATTTGGAAACAACAATTGTTGAACAAAAGAAGACGACTTTAACAGCAAGCATACACAATATACAAGTATGTGAATATTATTCAAATATAATAAATAATTCAGAAAATATTGAGACTAACTGGATCGAGGCTCTCAAAGTTGCAGTTTTAGTGCCATTTAAAGCAGATAGCATGTGACTGAGGGCATCCCCTAATGTTCGCACCATGTGTGCTCACCGCATGCTGGTTGAAATTTTTATTTCAAAGCTAGTTTAAAGTTGTTTAACAGTTCATAAGGTGGTCCTGACTTTCATTTATACCAGTTC